TGCAGAATTACTTTAATACATATAACATTGTTGACGGTACGAATGTTTTATCATTTATAAAAAACATTATTATTTATGCTGTTTTCCAGTTATTGTTGTTACAGTTTTCATATTCTACAAGATTTTAATCCCAGTGGTGAATATTTTACAATTTTCTTTTTAGCGTCCGTGTTGTAGATGGATCTTTATTTTTACCTGTTAACGATTTATCCTAAGTTTCGACTTATTGCCATCATTTTCCATTTTGAGCAGGGATTCCCAAACGTCATTGCTCATTTTCTCGTGGAAAAATGTTCCACTTCCACCTGTATAGAATATATTCAAACGCATACAGTGAGGGGTAAATTGTGTTTTGACAGGTATTTTTCCTGTCTTTATAAACCATAGATGGCTAGTGTGATGACAAAAGGAAAAACAATTTTATATTAAATAAAAATTATCCTGCAATGAAATCTTAAATTTAACTAGCAAAGTTGTTCTTGGACTTCTTTCATATGATTTATATGCGAAAAAAATTATTTCGTCTGAAGAAATATTTGAATTTTAATGACCTTTCTCAAAACTATAGAAAATATTAAAATATTCCTTGTTTACAGAGATATTTATATCTTAACTAGGAATATTACCCAATATTCGCATTTACACTCCATATTTTTTCCTTTTTTAATACAGGTTCTTTGTTTGCATATCTCTGCTGAATATTTTTTCGGATACTATATGTTAAAATACATTTTTAATACTCAAAATCTTATATCGTCTACCAAAATTTCCATTCGCCTAACCTTTTTCTCTTCAGTTGTTCATCGCCCACCCAACTTTTGAAATCGACCATCGGTGGGCGATATCGTCCAGATTGGGAAACCTTCCTTTCGAGTCATGATCCACTGACATATACTAAATCTTCAGCAACATAATTATCTAGAGTTCATGTTTTCTACTTTCTACTGGTACTGTTTGTATGGAGGTTGGAATATTTGCACTGTTCCTAGTATATGACTCTTCTTACATTCTTGTGCCTGTTTTTATAGTGTCTTAATCCGTAAAACAAAATTAAAGAAGCAGTGATCATGTCTACATATTGAGAAGACTTAAATAAATATCTCCTTTTTTGTTTTTATTTCTTTAAACTGTGAAATTAGCATCTACTGGCCTAGATGTCAAAAATCTTTTTTAAAGAAAAGTAACATCATAATAAGAATTATATCTTTATTCTGTTTAGCCTGGAAAATCATCTTCAAGCTAAATATACTTTATCAGGCGTATTCTGGTAACGAAGTGGGAAAGTACGCCAAGCATGAAGGTGTTTTTATAAGATGGTGACCCTAGCTTCAGGTCGGGGCCACGCTATTATTACCACTAATCCATGACATTCCAGTAGCACCTGGCGAAACCAAAAGTCTTTTATTGGTTCTCTGTCATACTGTGAGAGAACCAGATGCAATTTAATACAATCTGTACACCAATCTTGAAGCCTCTTTTTATATCAACCGGAGATGAGTCCGATATATTAAGAATGAAATGAAAATGAGACCCAGGCATCTGACTGCAAAAAGAAAAGAAAAGCCTATCTTATAGATACAATATTTTTATCCCTATTGCCTCTATACAAAAAGTGTCTCATTTTTTATTAAATATTCAGCTCATAGAAATCAATGACCAGATAAATAGGGAAAGAGAAACGAAGAAATCATTTTTATTATGAACAAAAACAAAATGGAAAACACAGCCGATGGATAGTCAGAAAGCAGTACAGCTACAAGATTCGGTTTCCCGTGTCCCTTAGTCGAAGGTTTAACCAGTGTAATGACTGAAATCGGGGTCCCGTGTCTAAACTACGACCGACTGTTAAAACCTACCGCGGATACAAATGAGGCAATCCCTCCAAGTCATAAAGAGAATATTCACTGTATTGTGAAGATACAAACACACCAACTTTAGCCGCAGACATTTTAGCGTCTTACTTGTTCATAGTGGAGTCAACTCACAAAAAGTTTTGTCTTCCAGCTATAAAAGCACGTGTACGCCATCTACCCCTCAATGATCCAAGCGGTCAGCGTGTTTATCTCACGAATTGATCTGAGACAGCCACTTTATTCTGAAAAGTAATCATTATATTAAAAAGAAGCCAATAAATCCTAATCTGGTGTAGGCTGGTATATACACCAGGAAATTCGTGTGGTCTGCTACCATTCGTCACCTGAGATTAAAAACGCAATTTTCGATTTTTTTCTTTTAGTTATAGCCCTGATATTTTCTCTATATATGACCACTTAAGTTTTTGTACAACAATCTTCAATTAATTCCGAGAAAAGTATATATCGTATTTCTGTCAATTTATGAAAAAGTTATGTTTAGCCAAACTTTGAAGTCAAATATCTCAAAACTACAAAAAGTGCAGACAGAACCTTTTTAATTTCGGGTGACGCATTGTTGGTTCAGTTAGTACATCATAAAAGGCAGCGTCCTGAGTTTGAAGTCTACCCGAGGAGTAATCTTCCATTCATGTCCTAAAACAGCAAAAGGAAAAAAAATCACACGCACACAACAGAAATAAAAAACAATTAATTGACTCCTACGAGACAGACTTCAAAACGTATAAGCGAGATATTAAAGCAAGAGAGAGAGAGAGAGAGAGAGAGAGAGAGAGAGAGAGAAAGAGAAAGGAGTTGGGTGCATTGGATAATGGCATTAAAGAAGTATCAATAAGATGACAGAATTTCCTGTAAAAACTTTGAAGAGCTTGGAAAACCTGCAATTTCTTGGGTTAGCACAGAACAGGAGTTGGGGTGGAAAGGACGGATGGGCCATATTTACAAAGTTGCTGAAGATAAGAAACGATGCTCATTTGCAATGTGTCTCAAAGTAGTAAAAGCTCTGATGATGATGACGACCACCACGATGATGATGATGATGATGATGATGATGATGATGATGACATCGATGACGACAATGTTGATGATGATAATCGTGATTAAGTTTTCATATTTATAAAGCACTTCTGTAAAAAAATATTCATGTCGTTGGTCGATGAATTTTTCATAATAGTTTATGTAACAAAAATACCCCATATACTCGTGAATAAGCCGACTTCATGTACAGTGCCACCCCTGAAATTTTGGGCATGAATTTTAAACCCTCCAGTGTATATATAATGCAACCGACCTCAGAAGATGTATGATGTAACCTCTTCAAAAGAATTGCCTATGTATAGTGCAACTCCTATTTTTTGCTTAAAAAAAACAAAAAACTAATCATAAAAACCCGCACTATATTCATGGATAGACAGTAAAAACCTTACATGTTTCAGATCGATGCTTTTTTTCCCATCTTTTTCTGTTTTTAGGTCACTCATTTTTTTTTTGAAGTGGAGTCAAATTAAACATTCCCTAAAAGAAAAGATTAGCGAAAAGTGTAAATGTTGCTTTTCGTTTATCGGGAAAAAGTCTTTTTTTTTTATTCAACTTTTTCTCTGAAGTCAGTCAAGTTATTTATACTTTTTAAAAATCAGGTTAAAGAAGAAAAAAACATTTTGATGTTATTCTAACTTGGTTGAAAGTAAATGACACTATCTCATCCCCACACCCAACATTTGCCAATCGTTTTATCTTTCGATATTGCCAGTCCCTATTTCAGGTTTGGTATACTTCAATGGCAGACTACTCGGAAATGTCGGTCTGCTATATCGAAGAAATACAAACAGAGTAACATTGAATAGGTTTAAATCAAAAAGATCTGACGGCGTTAATAATTATATCTCGTCATCAACCTTTTTATTTGTTCAATCTTATGTTTTTATATCTTAAAATTATTTAGTATTATTTCATAGAAAAAAGCAAGAATTATGAATAATATTGTCATTTAAGATCAACGAAGTCATATGATAACTCGAGTAACATAATCTTTTTACTGTTTACCAATTACCTACTTCTGAATTAACTGCTTACCCGATTCTCCTGGTAAGCATATACCTTTCGATATCAGTTCATATCTATCTATCTATCTATCTAATTTTATTTTTTGCTTATTTATTTGCCCATGACACACATAGCTTATTAAAGTGAAATTTTGTTTCAAATATAAGTGAGTTCAATCCCTGGGTTTGGTTGTATGAAAATGCCAAATATACTTGGTTCAGTTGAAGAGATATAATAGCAACAGACAGGTGAATGAAACATGAGTATTAACTGATACGAGTTATTTTCCCTCTAAGTATGGAAAGCCGAATGAGACATATGCAGATATCGAATTGCTTTGAATAAAAGATTCGATTCAAAATTATATGAAGATAACCAAATACGACGGCAGACACTTGAACATTTCCGGAGGGTACAACGTTTATAACCTTAAAAGTTTGACAACCAACATGAGAAATGCTGGTCCGAATAGTAAAACACATTATTTATTTATTAATTTATCATTCTTTTCAAATCTATCTTCCTTTATAATTATCTATCTATCTATCTATCTATCTATCTATCTATCACTTTATTTATTTATTTATTTATTTATTTCTTCATTTTTTTCTTTCTTTCTTTCTTTCTTTCTTTCGTTCGTTCGTTCGTTTGTTCGTCCGTTCTCATTCTCTTCATATATATCTATCTCCTTTTTTTCATATTTATTTATCTTTCGTTCTTCCGTTTTTCTCTTTATTCTTTCTTTCTCATTCTGTTCAAATATATCTACCTTTACATGTTCATATCTATCTATCTATCTATCTATCTATCTATCTATCTATCTATTTATTTATCTATCTATCTATCTATCTATTTATTTATCTATCATCTTTCTTTCGTTTTTCTTTTTCTTTCTCATTCTATTTAAATCTATCATTATCTGTTCATATTTATCTATGTAGGTCTTTCTTTCTTTCTTTCGTTTTCTCTTTCTCATTCTGTTCAAATATATCGATCTACCATTATCTGTTCATATCTATCTTTCTTTCTTTCGTTTTTCTCTTCATTTTTCTTTCTCTATATCTCATTCTGTTCAAATCTTTCTAACTACATTAATCTATCTATCTATCTATCTATCTATCTATCTACTTATAGTCGGTTTGGATGTTTGCACATTAGATTAACTCCAACGAAAACCATATGGTAACATATAATGATGTTCGAAGTCACTACATTATTGAAATACTCTACGATGCTGGCTTGCTAATTATTGCGCTACGGTAAGAATTCCCTTGGAACCAGTTTTTTGACCCAGAACTTTGTCTGACTAGTAAACGAGTCAATTTTGGTTCATGATTTTCAAAGTTCAAAGGTCGTTCCTATTTTTAAGAATAGCACAGAAAGTCTAATTTCCATCAGTATTCAGAAGCTTGTAAATTATGCACTACTTTCAATGACCAAGTATGAATATTATATATATATATGCATATCTATGTACACGCGTGTGGGTGTGTGGGGGTGTGCGTATGAATAAACACATGTATGTATATGCATGTAAGTATTTTCAAACAAGATCAAAGCGTTCTGCTTATAGTCAATCAATGTACGTAAATGAAGTTGAAAGAAACTTCTTGGGAATAGAGAATAATGTCTAGGAAAATGAAATGGAAAATGGTAGGCGTCATGAAGAGAGAAGAATGGCAGGTGGTAGAGAACTGGAGGCAATGAAGTTTCTGGAACAACGACAAAGAAAATGGTAAAAAAAAAATAGTCGGCGGACGAGTAACAGTCATTAATTTCGCTTTGATGTATTTTGAAATATACATTACACACCCCACCTGTCTCTCTCTCTCTCTCTCTCTCTCTCTCTCTGTCCCCTATAACTCTTCTTTCCTTTTCCTCTTTTTATATATATATATATATATATATATATATATATATATATATATATATATATATATATATATATATATATATATATATATATATATATACTAAAATTTACTATATTTATAGGGAAAAAAGTGCTCTGTATTGAAATAACGCGTCTATAGTTATCGAGTGTGGACGTAGGAATCAAAACTACATGGTCACTATTGGTTACACGCCTTAATGCCACCTTTAGTCTCTCTCTCTATCATATATATATATATATATGTGTGTGTGTGTGTGTCTACTATTTACATTATTCAGACTATTGTCCTCATCTTTGTCACCATATTTATTACAACGTTTCGGCCGTTATACGTTCCGGCCTTCTTCAGGTTGTTGGAATGTCGAACTGAACCCTTTATTTCGCTCACTAGGTTAGACTGTTCTAATTCCACGTGCCATGTTTAATGGATGTTAGTTTTCAGTTATCTCCTGTTAATTCCCCTCTCCAAGTTCTCCACTGCCTTAACCGGGTATTGAACACACAACTTTTTGCGTCCTGTCACTAACTAACGTCTTTATCCACTGTGCCATGTGTCCTTGAGGGGAATTAACAGGAGAAAAATTACGTCATTTACTTTTTATATTTGAAAATAATTTTTCATATGTAAAAATATTGTGATGTCGGATTCTGTATTGAACGAATGAATAAGCTTTAAAGGACAATTCAATGTTGCTTGATGGTGAAACTCTTCATAGCCGGATTAGATGGTGGTTTCTCCTGCAAACGGGATCTCATGTTCGAATCCAGTCGAAGTGCACATTTTCTTTGATAAGTTTTCTCAATCATTCAGAAATGAATTCTGTTTAAAATTAAACGGAGGGTCAACACAAATACAGGTATCTACTAAAAATAACGTTCGAAGTAATATATATATATATATATATATATATATATATATATGAGTAGCCACTAAAATAAAGTGCTAAAATCTCGGATTAACAAGCAAAAAGTCCATTACTTTAGATAGATAGATAGATAGATAGATAGATAGATAGATAGATATGAACAGACTGAGATAAATAGATAGATAGATATGAACAGACTGAGATAGATAGATAGATAGATAGATAGATAGATAGATAGATAGATAGATAGATAGATAGATATCATATGATATGATATGGTCATAAGTAATTGCTAAAATGATGAATGTAAAAAGTCTACGTCTTCTATAAACAGACGGAAGATCGATACGCTCACCTACGAAACTTATTTCTATTCTAAAGATTTTTTTTCATTTTATTTTTTAGCAAAAAAAAAAGTTGTTTTTGCAAAGTGCGTTTTCATGGATTTACATAAGATCAGGGGGAAAAAAATTATTATTTTTTTATTATTCAGAATATATCTTCTTAACCTAAATTTTCTGATTATTCTTTCCCAGGATTAATTTTCTTATTGATTTTTTGCTGTTTTTCATTAAAAAATATTTGGTCTTTTTTTTTCTCGTTCCCGCGTTTGATAACGGAGACACTCTCTCTCTCTCTCTCTCTCTCTCTCTCTCTCTCTCTCTAGCCATGTCATATTTACCGACATCATCTCCTAACCTATATTTTCGACTTTTCAGATCGCTTAAGACAGCCACTTTTCTTCTTTTAAAACCACTCTGTCGTCGCGCAGAAATTGAATAGTTGCAACTCTCTAACTTTTGTGAAAACACATTTTAAAGTTTGCTGTAGAAATATTAGCCTTTCTTATTATATAGAACTAATCAAACTGAAATGTACATTAACTCAAGCTATGACATTCATTTCCAACTTTCCGAATGAAAATTATTCAAATTTGAGTTCCTTTTATTAGGTTTGATCGGCTTATTTCGGCAAGTTTAAATCGTAGTCCCTTTCAGTAGGTTCTATTAGATAGATACTATTTCATTAGATAAAAATTTTGCGTAATTGTATATAAAATATTGAGGAATTGAGTAGATGTAACCGTAAGTTCTATGTTAACAGTTTCTTCTCTCGCACTTGTCGTTTGTTGGAACTCTCTTCCGGCTTCTTGCTTTCCAGTCAACTTTGATTTTAAAACTTTAAATGCAATATCAATCGTTATCTTTTGTCTTTTTAATTCCAGTTCTTTTATTGTTCTCTCTTCTCTCCTTAATAATGTCTTCATATTTTCTCCGGTCTTCTTCAAATGTCTATTAATCCAGATAACATTCTCACAAGACAATAGCCTAGCAAATGAAAGCCTTGGTTCGTGAATTTAGTTGCAGAGTAGTTGTGAGTTCAATCCCAGAGCCAGATAGTATAGCGTCAGACTCGATGAAACGGAACAGGCAATAATTGAGCAGTACTCAAAAGAGAACACGAGATTTCCCTAGACATGGTCAGAGGAAGGAAAAAAAATCACTCTACTAGTGTAAATTAAATAAAGGGTTCAATTCGAAATCCCATGAAGATTATCCGAATCGACAGACACCTGAAGAAGGCTGGAGTGCACAACGACCGAAATGTTGTGATCGTAATAACATAATAGCAATAATGATATGAAGACATTAGTCTGTGTGTAAATAACATAAGTGGGAGAGGGGCACGGTGCATAATGGATAGCGGTTCGAATTGAGTAATCGGAGAGGCGAGCTCAAATTCCAGTTGCATCCATTACATTCACTAACGTGTTTTGGAAAGATATGAATCCTCTTCTTCTCCGTATTCTTCAGCTATGGGTAAATAGCAGGACAGACTTGGTTTTATAGCCTTGGCTGGCAATCGGTCTAGGAGAAGGAATAACTTTGAATTCAAATCCTGCCTAGAGGGGGTTGAGCTCCGTCAGGTTATCTTGCCCAAGAAACACCACTTCTATTGTGTCTGAAGTACAGAGATGGGTCACAGGCTAAAAAAACAATTAAAAAAAACATAGCATAAATAATGATAACATTCAAAAAGACGCGACAGATCAAATTCAAAAAGACACGACATATCAAATTCAAAAAGACACGACAGATCAATGTTCTCACTGGTTTTAGTTCATCTTGGGGTCTCGCTAACTGTCCAAATCCTTGCTCGTGTTCCTAATCCTAATTTCATTTAGACTATGCTTTCTGTCTGCTCAATCCTTTCTGTCTTGATCCTGATACTGATTCTTCAATGTCCACAATTCTCGAATGAACTGCTTGCATTTTCCTAAGACTGCTTTTGATCTGTAATGTACATATCTATTGCTTGAAGCATTTTATTACGACAGCGCAGATATTACAGATAATAACGGATATCCGATGTGTAAAAACGTCAAATCGGTAAGAAACTACTGACTTTGATTAATGATAATGAAAATTTAAAATAATACTATATAGTTGTTCATTAATCAAACTTTCAAATATTGAATGCTGGACAAGAGTCAGCAAAAAAAAAAGTGGTTTTTTTTTTTATTAGAGTTGAAAATCCACTTATAAATGTTCATGTGACAATCCCTATTAATACATGTGACATGCCTAGATGATGCATGTGACAATCCTAAATGTTAACCTCACTTATTTCCGACATTCAGAATGGAAATGTAATCCCAGGAAAATTTAAAGTTAATGCATGTGCTGGTTTTTTTTTTGTTGTTGTTTTTTGTTTTGTTTTGCTTTTTTCTATAACAACTCTAGGACTTTATTTTTGTCAATATAACGGATTTCAAAGATTTTAACTGTTAATTCATAGGACTTATTAATAAGCAAATCTTGGAACACATCATTCTGATTTTACATCAACATATATATATACAGGGTAAGGCAAAAGTCGCAAACCATAGAGGTCCTGGTGAGTGACCAACGAAGTCACCAGATCTCATACCCTTGGATTTTGTTCCTGTGGCGGGCCATTTGAAATCAGTTGTTTATCAGACGCGCCTAAGAAACATTGAGGAACTTAAAGAAAGAATGAAATATGAATGCAGTAAAATAACAGAGGGATCTCTCCGACGTGTTAATGAATCGTGAATGTATAGAATTGAAATGTGTTTTGAAAAAGAACGACGATATTTTGAATATTACATATAACAATGAAATAACTACTAAATAAAATTTTCATGTGTAAATATATTTTTAATAAATTATCTCTTGTAATAAATTGAAACTTTACGAGAATCTTGCAAATGAGAGGATATAAAAACATGCATAAATCGCACTGTGCTGCTCTATTCATTTGACTATATCAGTCAGTTATGTGCCATGCGTGATGCACGCTTA